CAAAAATAACTCATACAGATTTCCATTTTTTGCAGTGTAGGATGGATAAACTGCAAATTTTAGAATGCAAAAAAACAAACTATGACAGGCCTGTATTTATAAATATTATCCAATTAATGTAACACTTGGAAACGACGAAAAAAAGAGTCTGTTTGGTTCGTTTAGGGGTTATTAGATCGTTGGATTCACAAAATCTACACAAAAATCCTCTAATTTAACTCAGTCCATCGGACATGAACTGATAAGTTTGCTTTGGAACCTATGATAGTTTTAAAACATTTAGAAAGAAAAAAATATATTTTTTTGGAGTTATTTGTGAGGAGAAATGTAATAGCTTTAAATGTTCAGATAATTACTAAACAAAAAAATGAATCCTCTAAAACTATTTAGCCCCACCAGCACAACTTAAAGCCTACTGCAACTAATATAATGAGACAAAAACATTACAAAAGGAGGAACCAAGGAAACTGAGCAAGACTTACACTGGAAAAACGATGTAGAAATAAGTAACAATTTCTTAAATTCAGTGTATTTACCCTTAATTTGAGTAGGTAAATTAGATAGTTTGCCAATGGAATGAGTATTTTTACTCTTAAAATAAGATTATTAGATAAAATGCACTTAAAATAAGACAATGTAATTGTGTTTTCTTATTTAAAGTGTTAATAGTCTTGTTTCATTGGCAAAATGTCTCTTTTCTCTCCTCAATCCAAGAACAAATGCACTTATTTTAAGAAAAACTGTCTTATCTAGATTTTGATTTTTTCCAGTGTAAGAGAATAAAACTGTGAAAACAAAACAGAAAATAAAAATATAAAGAAGAAAAAGCTCAAATAAATGTAGCTTCTGCTTTCACAGCCGTAAAAAAAAAAAAGCAAACAGGATTTATTTTCCTGCTTCTGGTGTAAACATATTATTGTTTGATCAATAACAATTTGAAATGTAGCATCCAGGTTATTTACACAAATATATAACTTTTACAGTTATTGAAAAGAAATATTTGCTTCATAGATACTTTATTTTACATCCAAAGCCAAACATAGATGGATGACTAATAAAATATTGAGCTTTACTGCAAGAATTCACATTAAACGTCTAAAAAGTGAAGAATAACTTAATTCTACTTAACATTGATTCTGTTTGATGATTCTACACTGGAAAAACAATCCAGAAATAAGCAAAAATATCTTAAATTTAGTGTATTTGAGTAGGTAAATGAGTATTTTATACTCTTACAATAAGTTAATTAGATAATATGCACTTAAAATAAGACAATG